TTTGGAAGTTTTCATTATCCGCAAAAATGTTTGCCGTGAAACTTTAGCAGAATCACTTGGGCATAACGGCTGACATTGTTGCGTGCAATTTTAATGACGGTATATGACTAGTATTCCAAGAATCGTTAAAGTCTTAAAGACGAATATCGAAGCCTAATCATACCATTTTGTGCATTGAAGTCGACGCTAACTTAAGTTGAAGAAAGCTGGGCGGCCTTTAACAGATGCAGAATAAGAGGAGAAATATTTGAACTTTGGAGGGACTCTAGAATTTAATACAAAATTTATCGTGATAAAAAAACATGTGTCTACTTTGAACTAGTTTATCTCGGAGCACGGTTCTTGAAATCGGCAAAGTAGCTTAAGTCAAACAATTTTTATTTTTCTCACTACTTTATCTTCGAAATGACATTCTGCTGTGAAACATGTAGGAATCTTTTGTTGGATCACTTTAAACATTTTCTATTAACCAAAGATCGAAAATCACGCTTTTTCACTTTCCCTCCGTTAAAATCACGAAGCCGTTGTTTGAGTGTGTTTGTTGAAAATCAATACCCGCTCGTCAAAAAATCCAAAACTTTTAGTTAAATATCAATTGTTAAAATTAGGAAAAGTCTGAAGGGAAAATCAAAAATTGCAAACCATCGGTTGATTCTTCATTTCCTCATTTGGTCCTCATATCAGTATTGTAAGAATAAATAATTACGCCTTGAAAAGCAAGGGATACTACTCAAGGAGTGTCTGTACTGTACGATGAAACACATTCGGTGGACGATAGTGGAAAAGAGGAGTAGGGTTCGATCTGAAAATGGAAGCATCAGAAACAACAGGAACGACCAATATAGGTGATAAGAGGTTGTTCTATTATAATGGCTTGCGATCAACCCTGACCTGCCCGTCCCACAATAAAAGCGAATTTCGTTGAACTATAGCGACATAGAACATGGACTCGATGAAAACCATTTGAAAAGTAAATACTTCTCCCTTGGATGCAAACGTTTCCGTATCAATTTCTCAAAAGCAAATCAAAAAAAAAAAAAATAAAATATTTTACTTTAGAAAGAAAATTTCGTTTTGATTATGACTTGACGTGGAACGACAAATATATATTGTGAGCGCTGAATTGTTTAAGACTTATATCCCAGAGGACAATAGCTGCCATGAATTCTTTCTTCCATATCCTTAATTACTTTATTTTACATTAATGTAGAGTTTGTTCTCAGACAAACACCAACAATTTCGCAATAGAAGTACTTATGGATTCGCAGCGGAAGCGAAATATAAGAAATTGCATTTTTCCTACAATAACTTAAGTAACTTAACGATTACTTTATTATATTTCACCATCATATCTAAACCGTCCATAACAACAGAATTAAACTATAAAAAATATTTGAAAATAGGTCAGCAGTTCGTTCTAAAATACACTACAATTTCAAAAATCTATAAATCTTCTTCGAAGATATTATTAGCATTTTATTGCTTAATACATTTTCTTCGAAATGTCTTCACTTGCAATCTATTTACAGTTAGAGATTTAGCAAATGATTTAACAACCAAAAAAGTATAATAAACAAATACAACATAACAGATTGCAGTGAATGTAACAAATATAAACTTATTTAATTTTTCACTGAGTATAATATACATTAAGTATATCATAGGAGGAGGAGGAGGAGGTATAATATGTGGGGTCTTTTCACTCTTTTCCCTTCATAACTGTCATCCAAAAAGGTTTACATACATACAATATTACAATGTGGGCTTAATCTGCTTGGTTAATTATTGCTAAAGCGTTTTATTTCATTTTTAATCTTCAGGCTATCAAGATTGGTATATAAAAAGTGTGATCCCTCACAGACCAAGGTTCCCGAAAACCTTTCACCTATTGTAAGATGTTAATAATGTAGGTTGTCTTAGCTATTGCTTACGCTCCAGCCGGTAGAAAGGCGTTGCAAATCTTAACAGCTAAGCTAATCGGAATTATCTAGGAGCTGTACTGCAAACTAAAAGAAAACTATTAAAGAATAGAATTGTAATACTAGAGGAAAACAGGTTGAAGATGAAAAGCATGTAAAGAAAACAGGAAAATGTACAATGAGTTCTAAAGTTCATATAAATCAAATTTTTGAATGAGTAATAACGGTCGATAATGGAAACAGAGGGTAGTCCAAAAGTGAATCATATTGTAATTACAACTTAAAAAGCTACTATGTCATCTTCAACGTCCTCTATCTGCACAAAAATAAACTAACGGTAAAGTCAGCGTTAAGCTTTCGATTTTCAACCTAAAAAGCTGCAAGCGAATCTTCAAATTAACACGATTCTGTAAAAATTAAAGAGAACTTAAAGGTGGAAAAATGGACAATTTATCTACTTGTACTACAAGAAAGGCCAGATCCTCCTGCGGGTCAATATGAATTCGAAGAATTCAAGGTACAAACCCAAAATTGGAAAATAACAACAAGGACAATGAATCTGAACGAAGAGACAAACTTTCAGATTTGTTGCATTTAAGCACCGCATGTTAGCATCTAAGTTTACAATTATCTATTTAGTCCTCCAGTCCAAGTTTAGAGAGTTTAATCATATTGCGCAGTATCTGACTTGATTATTAAAATCCGGAGGCAAGTTCGTATGGACTCAACTTTACTGAAACGTCTATTAATGCATTTTCATTATTTTGCTTCAATTTAGGAAAAGCAGCCAATTTGTAAGTAAACAAAAAGACTTTGAATTTGTTTTATTTTTCTTCTTTTTTTTCTTTATAATTGTAAAGGAATGTTGGAAACTATTTTTATATTTAATATATATTATTTGCACAATCATTTTTTAACATAATTACAATAATTTGCTAACAATATGTATATATTTATATGACATTATATATGTATATGTATGTATTTGTTAGTTGAATTGAAATTTGGATGTTTTTTTTTTCCTCATTTATTTATCGCGTTTGCAACTTTGGAACAATATAAAAACGCATTCAGACATTTGTGCCTACCTAAACGATAACGCATTTTCTTCAGTTTTCCACTTTTTTTTTTTTTTTTTTTTTTGTAAAATTTGCTAAAGTGTGTCATTTTAACACAAATTATAATGTGTAACAACAAAAATACTTAAATTAGAAGCAAATTATTTTTTGTTTTTTTAAAAAATTGAACAAAAAATCAACAAAAATATTGACCATATATTAGGGTATTGTGTGAATATCTTTTATTTTACGGTTACGGTTTTTCACATTTTATGCGTATCTTTTCTACTTTCCTCGAACCATGGTCATATCTTTTAACTAGCAACAGTATATATGATTAGCCTTTAAACGTATGCTTGCACTTTAAAAAATCGGAATATAATTATCGATTTTCGCACGATGTTTTTGGGCGACACACTCGGCAATCCATACAATGTTGCGACATTCCTGTTCCTTTAATTTCAGGTAGGCATAAAATACACCAAAATGAAATTGTTGCAAGAAAGCATATACATTTAATTTGACCTCATGTTCAAAGAATTTATCTTCCAATGTTTTGTCGCCGGGATTAGTGCCGGAACCGTCGAATAAGGCAGCATAGTCGGCATAATATTCAGCGACAGTTTTTACTTGCTCATAATCATCAGCCCTAGCTAAGGCAGCTAAACCGTCAGGATGCATTTTACCGCAACGCGGATACAATTTTGCTCGATCATCTTTGGATAACTCGGTCCCAAATGAATTAATTGTTATAATGATCGCACGGCGATCGGCTTCGAACTGGCAAATAGTCCTTGTAAATTATATGAAAAACGTTAAATTTGATTTATTTACTTACAGCCAAAATTTCGCACATTACATCGGCAGTGGAACCACCCAAATTTTTACAGAAATCATAGAACGCTTCTAAATATGCTTTGTACAAAGTGTTACGTATGATTTCAATATTCATTTCATCCAAATCCTGTTCGGAAATGCAATCGACGAAGAATGGTGCTAAAGGCGTATCCACCAACACAGCATTGTATAATTCAGCTGGTGTTGTAGCCACATGTATGGCTTCCATTTGTTCAAAACTGCCTAAAGGGTGGCACTTGGGTATCAGCTCAGAAATTGGGCGTTGATGTAAAGTGCCCGTTATTAGCAATATTATGTTATCTATCATGTACCCATAAGTAATGAAATCTAAGAAACTGGACAATGGTTCTACAGCATGATTGCGTAGATGTTGAAATTCAATAACCAATTTTTCACGCAATTTATCGTCAATGACAGACACTGACAAAGGAGACGGTTCATTAGCCAAAAAAGTACCATAATCCGTTCCTTGTAAATGCAATTTTAAATCTAAAAATTAAGTATATATGTAACATAGTTTACAATTATAATTACTCATATATTATCCCAATTTAATTTTTAGAGTTTGTCTCTTTCCTACGCTTTCAAAGTCATACATACATTCATATGAGAATTATTACTACTACTACATAGTACGCATCACATGACCAGGCCCTTGTTATTTATCTTAGTTACTAACAAGATTGTGGCAAATTATCTTACCCTCTAAAGTCTCACATTGCACCAAATTTAGGTAATCTGTCTGCTTCAGAATACCACATTTAAAACCACGGCACAAGCCTTCCAGGTAACCACCATCGACATTGAAAAGATAACCAGTATCCACCATTTTTCTTTTAAATTCTCTTGTTGAATCAGTTTTCACGGCTTTTATCTATTTATTTATTTATTTTTTTAATAATATACCAATATTGAGGTTGACAGTTTTTATGAACACAATATATCGATACTGTTAGCTATTTTATCTAGGTAAACGATAAAAAAAGAATTTTTCCAAATCACGGGCTAGGGAAAACTGCCTTTTTCTCTATTTCTTCATTTCTTTTATCGACTTGTCATTCTTACTGTCATATGACTCTCTCAGAGTTGCAAAGTTTAGAAATCTTTTCAACTGTTTTCAGAGGAATATGCGTTACTTCACCAAATGAGGAATTTTTAATGATTCCTTTGTGGAAAGCATTTTGTATATATATATCCCAAATTTCTACTTGTATGAGTTTGATCGTTATAACAATGATGATTGGTCATGCCAAAAAATCTTAAAAACAATATTCTAAATTCAAACACAGTGACGTTAAATAAGATCTTCTCTGTTTTATAACAGCTGTTTTCTTAAATCCTATTCAAATATAAACGAAGCTAAGCAGTTTGTAAAATCTCTTTAGTGAAAAAGAGATAGCAGTTTAGGTACTGTGTATAAAAAAATTCTGCAAATTTTCTGCTTCGAATTACAAAAACGGAGAACGTAATTTCTCATCGGATGTAAAATTTAATTAGAAATTTTAATAAAACTTAAATAAACAAGTTCTCATGATAAACTTTGTGCGATAGATCTGACTAAATGAAAAGAAGGCGTAGCATATAAAAGAATATTTCCGTTTAGTCTGGCAATGGAAATTACAAAAGGGGAGAATTAAATAAGCAAAAGTGGATAAAGACAAAAACGAAAACCCGAAATTGGACTTGAAAATTTAATGAGGTACCTTTTTCAGCGAATAACAAAAGCATATTATAAGAATAAAACAAAAGAAAAGACTAAAACTAAAGTTTTCAATAAAGTTAGCCGCTAACAAAAGCAGGTTAATTTAAATGATTTACACTGAAAGTTTTGCATAATTTGTATAAACAAAAAGAAACTAAAAAATTCTCACTCACGCTGAAAGGAAAAAAAAGGGGAATAAACATTTTCTTTAGCAGACTGGCTCGTAGTTTGTGTTATTAAAAGTTAATCTGAATTTTTAATTAAATTCCAACTAACTAAGATTTTGCAACTGCTGCTATTTGGTAGTGTCGTCATCGTCGTCTTTACCTACTTAAGATGGCGTTGGACATGGGTGTACAAATGAATAGCAGTAATGCTCTGACATCATCCTTAACTTCCAAGAAGAAGGATGTTGCTGCTAACGCTGATAAAGAAAACCTTTGGTAAGTTTTTGCATTTTCTAATCTAATCTATTATATATATATAAATATGTATATATATATATATACATACGTATATAGAGTGTGCACCAATTTTGGTAAATTTATGCATATTTCAAATGTTACTCATTTAATGTATTACTTGGATAGGTTTATAAAGGGGAAAACAGTCTCTTTCTCTTTTTTTGTTTTCCTTTGCACCGCCGCTGCATATCCACCTTCAACTTGCACTTTACATTGCTGACAAGTTAAATATGCTAAATACTAAATGTGTGGGTGTACAATATTACAGCCTCTCGCGAATCCTAACCCTAAACTATTTGTACATAAAAATAGGAAAATAATTTGATTCTTTAATTTCACTGATTATTATTTCGTTCTTTTCTTTTTTTTTTTATTTTCTTTTATTATCCGCAAGAATACGATACGTGTACTATAGCGTTTTGTTTGCTATTTCATTGTTATTTCTTATTTGGTATGTTTTGGTTTAGTTGAGAATATGTATAGATGACGATGTGTCATCATAGCTGACGTTTCTTTCGTGACTTTTTTCGCACTTAACTTCAAGTTAGATTCGATTTGACTGATAATGTATAAATCTTGTCAACGATCGTCTTCGCTTAAATGCTAAAATTTTCCCGTTGAAAACTTTTTATTTCAAGGAACGCTAAATCTGAAGAAAGGATTTCCTTGGAAATTAAAATACGGGTAATTTAATTATAACTAAAATTACAAAAAAAAAAAAATATATCCTGAATCGACCATTTAAGAATATTGCTTCAAAAATTCTGTTAAAGATGACTACAATTTTGGAACTGGAACCGGAACTAATATGATGTTGAATTGATTTCTAGAACTTTTCGCTAGTTAGTTCATTTAGAATAGTTAGTTAGGACAAGTAGTTAATTTGTATTATTTCCTCGAGTTTCATTATTAATGAAAATGTTGCAATGTTGAGTCTATGCATAAGTAAGTAGCGAAATCGTAAACGTTTCTAAATCATTGATTTAATCAAGATTGAAGTTATGCCCGCTATGCGTAGTTATCGGAGCCGTTAGCAATCGGCGAAGCGTGGCAAATAGCATTTCGTAAATCAAAATCTTCGTATATGGAGCATATATTGTACGTATATCTGTAGCATTCCATGCGGTCATAGGCAGGCGTGAAAATAACTTTGAACCAGCTGCGTAGCAATGTTCGCTTTCCATTTTGCGTTTACCGCAGAAATTTTTATGCAAGGAACTTACAACGATGTCGAAGATCCGCGCGTTAGAAACACAACAGTTATCCAAAAGGAAATGATTTATCGTAACCACTTTTTGATTTTGGCCCGGAAGACTGCGCATTTTGTTATATGCACTCTTACGGAATATTAGTCGACAGCTGGCGATAATCGTCGTAGCTTAAAAGTACTTGCAAATCTGTCCATTGCCGGCTATCTTAAATATCGCTTCACATGCAGGACGGTGTCGAAAAAAAAAAAAAAAAAATTCGACAAACCTTGCCTAGCAGGTGACCATAAAATAAGGTCGCCGACTGGATAAATTGTTAGCATAAGTGTATGTACGGAGCTTCATTTGATACCGATGACTAAACAACAAAAACAATCTCACCCGAGTTAATATCAAGAAAAGTGAAAAAATTATACTCGTCTGCGGGCAAATCTTTCATTAAAAAAAATCTTTTTTTACTCTATAATATTGGATGGGCGTAGCCAAAGTTTTTCATTTTACTAAAGATACTATAGGGTACACATCGGAATTTTTGTCGTCGCATCGTATCGGTTTATAAACAATTAACAAAAAAAACTTATTTTCTTGTTTTTAAAGCCAGTACTATTTGCTGTTTATGTTGTGTGTGTGTAGATGTGTGCTTTGATCGATTTCCCCCATTTTTTAAATCAACTTACGTTCAAAAACTACCATTTAACGTCTTTTGGCCTTGAACTTGAAGCTGATATCTTATTATTTGTTATCACAAGAATATTTGCCAAAGGTATCATGAAAGGTATTTGGAATTTGATACTGACGAAAAATATATATATGCAATTTAGAGCGTTTCCGAAGCTTCCTTCTTTAGGTCTTGAAAAAATATATAAGTAGAGGAATTTGCGCAAGACTTGTATTTGCCGCCATTTATGCGGTAAGGCGTTGGCAACAGTTTAAGGTTAGTAAAAGAGGAACATGTGTATATGTATGTTTATATGACCGCAAAACTTTTGTTTGAATTGTGGGTATAACGAAATGCATAACCAAATATATGAACGATATATTTTCGAAATAAAAAAAAGAATCGTCCTTGGATTACAAAAAATTATCATCGCACATATGAATGTAAAGATTATAAATAAATCATTTCATGGATACCAAGGAAAAACTAACATAAGGATATATGAAATGTTCTTAGAAAGTGCCGCATGAATCATGACTTCAAAAACAAGTTCAATAAAATCTACAACACGATTTTGAAAAAAGCAATAAAAGACAATAATTAAAATATAGTAAAAAAAATGTTATAAAATGAAATTTCGCAGCATATAGCGCAGCAATTAAAGTAATGCATATAAGTTATTTTTTATTTATTATCTCGTAAGCAACTAAGAGAGTAAGAAGAACTAGGAATTTGTTTATGATAATGAAAAAAATTTGACACAACAACCGTAAGCGCAGCATCTAACGATCAGGATATATATAAAAAATATTATGAGGGAATGAAAGTATTGGGTAAGAGAAGAAAAAATGAGTGACACTAGATAGCGCAACTGTAAAATTTTTTAGAATTCAACGAAAAATAAATAAAAAAAAACTCTTAATGTAAGAGGAAAGTAAAAGAAAGTTAGCCAGAAAACTAAAAAGAAAAAAAAATATAAAAAATAAAAAAAGTATACAATGACAAGTAGGCCAAGTGATAACCAACTGAATATTTAGCGCATTATTTTGGATGATCACTAAACCGAATGCTTGTGTGGACTATGAAGTAAAGTTTTTAATTAATTACAATTTGTCAAATTATGAAAAAAAAAAACAAAAAAAATTAAACGAGAATGGGAAAAAATATGATATCATTATTTTATCAAGCCCTTCGAAATGAGAAGAAGATTGTTTTGTTTTATTAATTCCCGGTTATTTTTTGACAGAATACATTATTACTTTTAATTTCTTTCTATTATTATTCACAAGTTGTTTTATCTCAAGTGATTCATGGTTTGTACCCCAATACGAAACAATTTGAATTAAAATATTGATTAATGTCCATTAATAATTGAATAATTGTTGGAACAAAAGTAAAGCTGCTGCAATAATTTCCTAAGCTTTAAGCATTTTTTTTTTCTTGTTTTGTTTATTTGAATTTCTCAAGATATTAAGTAAAAATTATTTATTATAAAAATGTTCGTAAGTTGTTGTTTTTGTTGTTGTTTTCTTTTTTTCTTTTTTTCTTCTTTTTCTTTTACTTTTATATGCGTTCTATGTAAACATCCATTTCATCGTTATCGTAAACATTGGTATTGGTCAAAGAAAGCATACTACCTCCATTAAGTTGGTCGTAATTAGTTTGCAAACGTTCTAATAGATCCGTAGCAACTAAGGCGAAATTTTCCCACACATCTGCTGGCAAGTCATCCGTTGAAGTTTTTGCAAATTTCTCCTCATCTAAATGATCGATCAGCATATCGCTTAACTCATCGAGAATTGACGAAGAACATAATTCTTCTATATGCTGTGTATCAATAAATAAATTCCAAAATGCTTGATATATAATTGTAGCCAAAAACCAATCAGCTGCCTGTTGCATGGTGACGTGACGAAGGAGAACGAGTAATATTTGTGGACCTTTCAGATCGAAAAATGGTTTACGATTTTCAATATCGCCCAAAACATTAACTAAAATGCCTATAGTGCAAGCCTTCAAATCGTAAATCTCATTGTTTACTGGACTATTAAGTATTTGCAAAATGACGGGGAGGCCTTGAGCTGCTGAAAATTGTTTTCTCGCTTTCTCATTCCGTGTTAGATTACCCAAAACTCGTGCAATTTCCACTTGCAACATTTCGTCGCGACATAATTTCAAACTTTTACATAAGTCACTCGTTAGCTCGGGTAAAATACTTTGTAAGCTCCCTTGCGAGTCCATTACCAAATCTGGTGTTGCGATATTTTTATCCTGATAGAAGCAAAGATTATGCAAAGCACCCAAAGTGGCATGAAACAGTTCTTGTAATTCTTGTTTCTGTGACGAATGCATTTTGTTATAAAAATTCATTATGAACTGCTTTAAAATATTTACCAACTTGATGCTTTTCACTTCTTGATTAACCTTAATGAGCTCCAGTAGTATGTTGCCCAAGGAGCGGCAATTACCTAAACCCAGACCCACTTCTTCATTGACACTCATATTAGCCACTACACGTATTATTTTTATAAGGACATCTATCACGGAATCGCCCATCGAATTATGCAGGGTGAGTGGCTCTTTAGCATAGATTTCCAAGATATTTATTAAATATTCCATAGCCACATCATTGTGATAAAACTAAAAAAGATATTTTATTTTTTATTATTTATTTATTTATTTTTTAATGATAGCTTAAGAAGTATCTCTCTACGTACCTGTACACGTGCACTATCATATTTAGCCATTATATTACCAAGTATATAGCCTAAACGGCTAATTAAAGATAAGAGTTTTTCATTAGCACTACCGTTCACGTGCGCTGCACAACAAGATCCTAAAAGCATGCCTAGACGAGCACTAAAGCTCATTAAAATTTGGCAGCAATCGACATCTTCTGAAAGCACACTAGAAAGCAAAAGAAAAATCAAATTCTTGGAGAGCCAAGCTTAGGATCTAACCGAATACCTTAACGTTCTAACCACATTGTTTTGCACTTCAATTTCGCCTATAGTTATTTCAGCAGCCTTAATCAGATGAGGGCAGGCGAGTTCCAATTGTATGTTATTTCTACCGTACTGTGCAGATTCGGTCTGATAAGTTTCCAATTTCTCCAAGGATGAGGAATATTGACGTATGTCGGCGAAAGCCCTTAATGCTGCCGATAGTTGGTATAAAGAATGCAACGGTGGTCCAGACAATTTTTGCATTGCTCCCGCTTCATTAAGCATTTGTAAATGTAAAATCATCAATTGTACAGCTCCGTGACGTGCCAAACGTATTACTAACGCATCTTGCTTGTTCAATTTCTGTTTGAATTCTCCTTCCATTTTATGCATGTCGCCCAAGGCCGGAGCTGTTGCTGGTTTACGCGGCAATTCCAATTGTTCGAACCAGTTTCTGTTAATATCTTTCAAAGCGCTTAGTTCCGCCCTTTCTTGGCCCGAGCTGCACGTTAGAAAACGTATGGAACCGTAACCGTAAATACAGGCTTCAGGATCTTCTAAAGGACTGGCTCGTCCCAAGCCATCCACTAGTAATTCCAAAATATCATTGTCATAAAATAATTGATCGTTTTGTTCGTTGCGAGCGACTTTAAATATTAACTTGCACGCACCAGTTAAATTGCTACCCGAGACACGAAGCTACAAAGATTTTATTAAACAATTTTTCAAACTCTTCCATACCATCAGTGGGAAAATGATATTACGCCTTTTTGCGCTTCTATAACAAATTCTTTACGAGAATTTTCTCGCAGTTGTCTCAATTGCGCATATTTCTGCCATTATATGTGAAGGGGAACGATTATCGTTTATTTATCGAAAACTACAATATATGCGGACAATTTAGGAAAGTGTTGACAGTGAGACGTCCACAGAAATTTTTACAAGAAGTTTCCAGAAAAAAAAAAGCGTGTGTCAGAAGTGTGATCTATTGTGATCTAATAGCAAATTAATCCATTAAGATCTTCTTTTGAAGAGTAACGTCATCTTAGCGTCATCTTTACGGCAATCGGACATAACCTCAAACTCACTTGTATGGCGTGCTAAACGCATTTGAATTTTATAAGAACTTATGCAATGAATTTTGCAATAGCATCCGTAAATGAGCCGTTAAGCAGCTCATAACACGCAGACATTTGTTCTTCGACATCAAGGCGTCAATAAACTCGGCTTGTATGGCATATTGTAAGAAAGTATATCGCACTAAGGCCATCACCACAATCTTATGGAGAAAAAGCTTTTTACATATACAAACCAATTTACTAATTAAGTAGTAAAGTCGATTCAGAGAATCGATCTAAAATTATAATTTTTTTATTCCATTTTGTATAATACTTACCGCTAATACCACTCTAGCTACCGCTAATAAAATCTTGGGTGAAGTGCACTCCACTAGACCGTAGAGACCGCCCAATATGAAACCTTTTTTAAATGACTTTTCGTTTTTATGTAAACGTTGATAGAGTTCCAATAAAATCTGCAATCATTTTTAGGAAATATATATAAAAACTTGTGGGAATCAAGAAGGGATTTCAAAATATATAAAGTCATTTACCGAATTGATATGATTAACCGTTTCAGCGGTGCATTCCTTTAGACCGGCATGCTCCTTCAACATATCGATAAGTTTCTCGGCCGATGACTGAGCCAGCAAATCATTGCTACGCGTTAGCAATTTACGAGCTGTCAATAAAGTTGTGACAGAATCGTTCGATATAAGATTATTTGATTCGTTATAAGCAGTTTTAGCTCGTTCTCGTTCTCGTTCTCGTGCTCGGTCTCGTTCGCGTGAATCTAATGTTTTGAAAGATAACTTTTTTGAATAATTTCTTCTCTTGCGAAGAAACTCTTTTTATTTTATTTTTTTTTTAAATATTACCTAATAAAGGCGCTGGTAAGCCCTTCACTTCCAAAGCGGGCAATTTACGATTCAATAGCGATTTACCTTGAACTTGTTTACTCACATTAGCATCACAAGTTTCTTCATCGTATGATTGCGAGCGACGATGGCCGCCAATGGTTTGTTTTGGTTTGATTAACTTTTCATCGTTCGACTTTTCTTGATTAATGGCCAACGGTTCTAGCACTGGTGGAGTCTTGGTTAGATTGCGTATATTTTCATTTTGCAAGTAACGTAATCTGCGATTATTTTAATTAAAAGCATTTTCTTTTTTTTTTTTTTTTTTTTTTAATTTTTATCATGTATTAAGGAAGAAAGATACTTACGAAAAAGCACTAGGGGGTCGACCATCTAATGATACTTTGCCATATAATACACGTGCCGTGTCTCGTGGTGTTGTCGGCCTTCTCGTGCTAATAACTTTCACGCCAATAACTATGATTAGTTAATTAGGAAATAAATTATTATTAGAAGAAGAAGAAGACGACAAAAAAGAAAAGACAAAAGTCTTCATCATTCCATTTCCATTGCTTGCTCATTTCCTTAATAAAAAGAAAAATATGAATATTTTATTACATTCACCATTAGCTAATGCTCGATTCGCGTTCATATTAATATTGCTATTGCTGGTGTTGTTGCTGTTACTGTTACTATTGCTATTTGTTGATGACTCTATTTCGTTTAAGAACATTTTAGCCTCACTTATCATTTCGGCCGATGTCCTGCGTCTGTTCAAATTTTCGATTGTTAAATCTGTCGTAACATTGCTTAACGGCAACTTTTGTTGACCATAACGCACTTTAGCCAATTGTTGGATCGATCTTTTCTCATCGATCCCAATAATATCGTTTTGTCGCGTTTCACTTTGTGAACGCCGTTTATTTAAATATATTTTTCTCATTTCACGTTCAGTTTTAAAAACAAACAAAAAAAAAAACCCAAAGGAAAAATTTTTATTTACTCTGCTTTCCAAGTTCTAATTCAACACTGTTTGATGGTCGTCATATTATTGAAGAGAAAGAAGAAAAAAAGAAAAAAAATATATAATAAAAGAACCCTTACACGCCGAATACTGAATATGTGTACACATTATAGAACATTAAATGCTGGTATTTAGTTTGGCCTGCATGAACACCATAACAACCGTTGGCCCTCACCATTGATGTTCATTCATATATTTCTACAGGATATTAGAAAACAAGTACTCAATAAGACTTACGTAGAAAGTTGGTTGCACTACACTCAACATCTATAAATTTAATTTATATATTAGGAGTGCAAATAAGTTTTTTGCCGTTTCGAATCGAAATTTAAGAAACTTTATTGTGAGAGAACGTGCCATCACTAGCTCCTATTTTTCTTACCTTTTCCGGCCACGTTCGGGTATCAGGTCGTAAGAATTGTTCATGTTTTGAGGCTTTCCACAAATCGATCCAATTTTTAGTAAGTAGACCTCATACGATGGAAAGCGCTGTTAAGATAATCCATGTGTCATCGGGACGGGCAATGCTTCGTTAAGGTATTTCAAATGGGAACAAAACTTTTAAATATTCATTTCATTCATTCAACTCATAGATTGTACTTTAGTCTAGACTAAGAAAGATCAACTCTGCTATTCAATTATGTATAACATATATGCGCTTAATGTCTCCAATGTACGCAACTTCATCTAAATGAAGACAAATTAAGGCAAATTCTTGTGTGTTGGAACTTCTAAATGGCTGTCGGAATTCGTAGAGACCACCTCTCTAATGCGACGACATATACACTTCAATCGAACTGGATTGTTAATCTCGTAAATCGCGTAAATTTGTCGAAAATTTTCCTTTTATACGAAATTCCATTTGATAGCAAGTATGGACACATTCGAAATATTCCGAAAGAGAGTTAAAAATATTTTGAAGCAGTTAAGCAGTGCATCATATGTTGTCAATTAAGGCTTCATTCAATCGAGCTCAGCAAAGCAGTCTGCTCATGAATATTTCCGTAATGAAGTTTCGTAAACCAACTGTGAAGCTGGTTGTTGCTCTTAAATGGTAGCCTCGGCGTCCCTTAACAGAAACATCAAAGCAGATCGTTGCAGGATATTGCCAATAGTCCAGAAATATCTATTCGGCCTTATGGTCCAAAATCGGATAGAAGTTACTTGGACACAATTGGCTGAACTGAACTGAACTGAACTGTACTGTATGGATGGATTATGTAACAAGAACAAAGGCATACTAAGTCTTTTGAGTTAAAATCATATTACGTCTCTATGTATGTAATTGGCAGCAAAGACTTGAAGGTGGGTCTATTATCCCCGACATTTATATATGGCCCATTTCTCAACGTATTTTTGCCGCTGATCAGCAGTTTTTAGGGAAGAGAAAAGAATGCTTTAAAAATATGTGTGTTTTCTTTCCCTGCTCGAAATATCAAAATAAAATGCCATTCATACGGATCTTAATTAAGTGTGTCTTAAAACATAAACACAAATTTTAGCTCTACTATCAATGCACAATCATTCATGCGCGAGCTAAAAAACAAAATCCAATACAATCTTTTACAAATTCATTACGAAATTAAAGAAAAATTTAATAATTTGTTAGTTGTATGAACGGATGATGAACATTGAAATAACAATACGCTATCCGAACGAGCGAACGGACTCACTTCGATCGAAGATAGCAATGTTGAGCCACCATATTTTGGTCTACTTCTTGCGGCAATAGTTCGTTCTAAGCAGAACCATAAAGCAGCTGAACAAGACCGATCCAAACCGATTTAGAATCTTCAACTTTTGTAGGATAAGTACATAGTGTTGTCCTTTCCTTTCAAAGAAACTCTAAACAAAATTAAATTTTCAATTGTTCATTGGCTTCGGTGGTTATATGATATGTTGTATCGTCTCCAATCTATGTTTTTTGGTCGAAAACAGATTTTGCAAAGTACTCGTGGGAAAGTGGGATGTTCGTGAAAGTGACGCATAATTCTCGAGCTTTATATTTCACTGTCTTTACTCGTTTGATAGTATTCACTTCAAAAATATCAGTGAGAAAGTTTTTATCCGTGCTTATCGATTGGTTACACATCATTTGCAGGGACTGGACAACTCTGAGATCGTTCGGTGAGGCATTTTGTCTAACGAAGATCACATTGACTTAAGAACTAAATTTTAGAGGTTTCACTGTTATGCATCCCTAGTTGTTTTCTTGCGGAGAATGGCTTTTCCAATTGCAAATTCATTCTCTGCGATAAAAACTTGTTTTCGTGTGAAGACTTTCTTAGCAAGAAAAACGGTCGCATTCTTTCAAATCAGGAATGCGAAACCTTACATCGAATAAGTTCGACCCAAATATATATTATTTGTTTTTTTTCGCGGAGCTAAGCAGATAACTGAGGCTGAATGCTTATAACATGTGAGGGTAAAAAGCCGTTGTAACGTATTGTACACGCAGTGCTCCCGTTAAGGGAAACCCACCACCAAAGCGAATTCATCGAGATTATCAGAAATCACTTGCTAGCAGACTTGTCTACTAAGCAATCAGCTACTATAGAGGTTCAAGATTTAACGCAAGTCTTCGAATTGTTGGGGGTGGCCTGTGAATTATGACAGAGAGAGCGAGAGAGATGCTAGAATGAGCATGACACGTCGCTTTAATGCAGACCAGCCCATCCAAAAGCATGGAAGTATAGGAACAGCGGGGATCCGACTTTAATAGAGTTGCTGATGGCTGGACACGGCCGTTTGCGGTGGTGGCTGCGGTTACTTCAAATGCATGCGCATTGAATAATAAGACGTACAGATAGCCCTCGCCTTGCGCAGATCGTTCTCAAACTTTTTTACCTGCTTCGTCATCAGCCCGAACTGAAGTATTAAGAGAGTTATGCATGGAAATCGTCTTCAAAATGAAAGAATTTTATGACTTTTTTGAGAAAAATGAAAGAAAAGCTTAAAAGGCCCTTATCAAACTTCAACATGGCCGCGAAGAGGTAGGTTTACGACAATTGTTTGTAATTATCGCTGTGCACGTGAAAGAGCGGGTCACAATTAGTACTTTGTGAAGCCTTGGCCGTTATTTTTTCCCATTAAGTCGGAAGCTTATATATCATTGCGGGAATTTACAACAAGTAATGTAATGAGTCTCTAAAGTGTTTGAAGACAATCGTTGACACAACATTTAGTGGTTTTCTCCTTTTGTAATCGTAGGATTTCTCTCTTCTTTGCTCTTCTTCGATTTTGCTGGGCGAGTATGGCGTTATAATCATGGACAGACTTGTGGTTATAAACAATTTTAAATATTTTCAAATACCGAAAAACGTAGAGTAATAATTACGTAAGCAATAGAGAGAGATCGAGGGAGTGAGAACGTTCAGTCGGCAGAACAAACGGGTCAGGGTAATCAAATAATCCTTATATAAATATAGTTGAAAGTGTTACGAAAGGAATGACAAAGCTAGTATGTATATTGTCACTCCCCTTTGGTAGTATAGTGTAGGTTTGACTTGATGCCTCTTCTAAAAATCAATATTTATATCAAAACAATTGTGTTTCCTATGGAAATACTGAATGGACGCGCTATTAAAGAACTGGAAAAGCAACCCTTTAACTGCTATTCGACGACGTGAAAGAAAATATGTATAAATGAACGAATAAATGAATGCGTGACCAATCAATTGTAAAATATGCACGATTAAAGCATTAAATGCATAAACGAGTCTTTAATGCAATAAAGTCAAAATCATTCAACCTGCGTTGGTTAGCGCGGATTTCCTTTCTCTTTACTACGTTATAAGGAAATAATTGTAAATATATTTATCTAAATATATATATATATACATGTGTGCTTGCATAACAAATATCCATTAAACATAAGCATTCATGTGACTTTCCTTAACTGAATAGCGAGCGAGCGGGCGAGCGAGCGAGTGAATGATTGGAAGAAATCGTCTCATTTTCATTTTTCATTATTTTATAATATTTTTGAAAAGTTAATTCGCGTGTCAGGATTTTTGTTTTTGTTTTTGTTTTTTTTTTTCCTTTTTCAACTAATTTTAAAGTCATTAAATATAAATATAGTAATGCGGACGGATGAACGTTGCATCGATTTGGCGATAGATAAGCGTGAGTGTATAGTGTTTAAATTGTTGCGTACGGAAATAGGAAAATTATTGTCATCAGATGAGGAGTAAGTGAATTGAAGTCGATAAAATATGCATAAAAATATTGTTGGAGTAAGAAGAGTGAAAATTTATTTTTAGATTTAATTCTTCATATCCCGAAAATTATTTCATTTTTTTTTTTTCTTCATTTTTAGGTCTTCAATTTTAAGTGAAGTTCAAAAGCAAGGTAGCACAAAACTTCCCTCAAACAAATCGGTTTTAGTATTAGGCGATAATGCCACCGGAAAAACAACACTTATAGCCAAGTTACAGGGCGTAGAGAATCCGAAGAAAGGTTCGGGTTTGGAATACGCTTATATCGATGTTAAGGATGAATATCGAGATGGTAAGAAAGAAAAAGGGAGCTTTAATAAAATGCTTGGATTTATTTGAATAACTTTGCTTTACAGATATGACACGTTTAAGTGTTTGGGTTTTAGATGGCGATCCAGGGCATAAAAATTTATTACATTTTGCCTTAAATAAAAACAATTATACACACACTTTGGTTATACTCACAGTATCAATGACACAACCTTGGTTTTGGTTGAATCAGCTCACTCATTGGATCAAGGTATTGTCGGAGCATATAGAGAGTTTACACCTGGAACCCGAAGAGAAACAGGAAGCACGGCAACGCCTTGTGGCAACATGGCAGAGCTATTGCGAAGTCGGCGATGATTTGGATGCCGGATCGCCCGTAAAACGCACGATGAGAAACAGCTCTATAGATGAGGATGATTTATTACCCTTAACAGATGGAGCTTTGCTAACAAATTTGGGCTTGGATATAGTGGTAGTGGTCACTAAGGTAAACAACAGGTTCAACTTCAAAGTTCGCGGGAGGGGAATGCAATAAAATATATTTATAATTTTTTTTTGTCACATTCGCAACGATTTTCATTGTCCGAAAGAGAATCTATTTTGAATATATTGACATATAATTATCTTTCCATTTTATGTTAGCACAGCATGGTGGTTTTCCTCCTCTTAGAAGCTTTGGTAATTTCTAACCTAACCATACGCATCTATTGTGACGATAGAAGATGCAGAATTTTTACTCATTTTTTTACCGGCCCACGTCTTCCTTCACGAACTATTGAGGCCCGCCAATCCATCCAAATAAGACTCGAGTCGGTTACACATTTTTTTAAATATCGGCAAGCGAAAATAATTTCCTTAAATTATAGAATTTTTTGCATGACTGCAATATCCTAAGCTTGATGTAATTCTAGTACCTCTACGTTTCTACATAAGTAATACACAATAATACATGTAACATAAATACTTTTCTATATAAAGCATAAATGTTACTTTGGGCGAGCCGAAAGGCCTTGTCTTCCTTCCTTGCTGTTTTTGTGTAATTTTTATACTCACCACTGTAAGATGGGGGTATGCTCATATTGTTGTATGTCCATAATGTATGTAACACCCGAAAGGAAACTTCAGAGACTTTATGAAGTAATAATATTCTTGATCAGCGTGAAATTCTGCGTTGATTTCGTCATGTCTCTCCGTCTGTATGTTTGTGTGTTGTGTATGCAAGATTCGGTTCAGTCGAGTATAGCTTTCTTACTTGATTTAGGATAAAGAAGTAAATAGTAAATGGTTTTAGGAAGAATTTTCTGCCATCGTTTGACCCGTATAATCGGCCGAATTTTGCAGACCACAAATCTGAATACCACTCACAATCATGTAAGACAAGTTTTTCGAAATCGTCCGTAGATTCCTTAAGCCTCAATTACCTCAGTTTATAAGACATGTAAACTGAGAAAGATATACGGAATTAATTATTTTATTCACTACTTGCGATCCCGAACGGTGTGACGTGATTTTCTAACATTTTCGAACGGCTCGATCGACTCAGTTATAAGCTACTGTTTCTGAGGAAGTAAATTGTTTAATGATTTATTCACGGTCCGCGAACTTTTCGCTATCGCAGTAAATGACAGAATTTTTTAATAATAATTCAATTTTATTTCATTCTTTAGACTGATTACATGACCACATTGGAAAAGGAATACGATTATCGAGATGAACATTTCGATTTTATACAGCAATGGATAAGACGTTTTTGTTTGCAACATGGCTCCTCACTGTTTTATACAAGTGTTAAAGAAGACAAAAACTGTGATCTCCTTTATAAATATTTAACACATCGAATCTATGGTTTACCATTCCGTACCCCTGCCCTAGTCGTGGAAAAGGATGCAGTTTTAATGTAATTTTTTCTTTATTTAAATTCTTTTTTTTTTTTGTTTTTGAGAATCGACTATTATAATCGAATATTAAAAAAATATTTCTTGGATTTATTTTATTTATTTATTTTTTTTTGTTTTAGACCTGCTGGGTGGGATAGTTTAAAGAAAATAGAAATTTTATGTGAGAATATGAATTCTTGCAAAGAGGTGGATTATTATACAGATATTATAACACCACCGCCATCTCGGAAAGTAAGTTTGAAAGTTTATTAATTAAGAATAAATGTATACTAACATGCATAAATACATAATTTGAAGGCGGTTTCGAATCGTGAAATCGAAGTGCAAACTGAAGATGAGCAGGCGTTTTTGGCGAGACAGCAGGAAATCATTAAACAAAGTGTACAAGTGCGGGGTGAATCGCCTTTACGTTCGCAGGCTAGCAAGGCTATGCCTCGAACTCCAGGCTCCGCAGGCCAAAGTTCACCGAAAAAGGTGAACAGTTTATCTTTTAATAAAACTTATAAAATTTTTTATTTAGAAAATTTAAATCGTTTTCTTTTAAAGATGGAGGCGAAATTAAACACTTCCACTCCTGGTACTGAAGGTGTTTTGGCTAATTTCTTTAATTCATTATTGCACAAAAAATCTGGTACACCCGCTACACCGCCTTCTGCCATTAGCACACCACGCACCAATGGCTCGGATAGTCTATTGACGGCCGACAAACTATCCGTACGCACAGATGCTGCTGCCGAATTAGATCGTTTAGCGAGGAGCGTTAAAAAGGACGTTGATTTTACCCAAAGCGATTGTTAAACCTTTTAAGCAAAACCTCTTTGGAAGCTGGTTTAAACAGGCTCTCCTTTAATTAAAAAAATATTGTCAGAGATATTTAATGTTGAACGAAAGTTTACATAAAATGATGGCAAAACAAAAGAACACAACTCTCATTGTTCAGATCTAAGACCATACATATATATATATATATACACACACGAATACGAGTAAGAAACGAAGGAGAAACGCTGAAACATTGAAATATAATGCGAAAAACTTTAGTTTTTAAATTAACTTTTTTTTTTGTATTTTTTACAGTCCCTAGAGAAATTATTTCTTTCTTAGGCATATTTAATGAAATGTCCACAAATATTTAATTATTATTATTATTATTATTATTATTATTTTATTTATGTATAGAATTCTTTTATAAATAGTATGTCTGAAAGTCGGTCTGCTTGTGTTCATTATTATTGAAATACGCGGAGGACTTCTTCGATTTGTGAGCATCATCTTATAAAGGAAACATTTTCTTATCGGTTTTCTTTCTATTTTTTTTCAATAAAAAATTATATAAAGCCAGAAAAAACGAAGAAAAGAAAAACTCCAAAGTAAAATAAACAATACAGTTATACAAAATAAGCTTTTTAAGTACCATACATTGTGCAGTACCACCAGATAATTTTTTTTTTCTAAAACCTATTTAATTATTTTTAATAATTTCCGTTTTTTGCTCAAAATATTGTTTCTTTTCTTTTATATATATCAATACAAATTTTTTAGTTTTTTTAATTTATTTTTTTTCTTTTTTATGTAAGAAATTGTCAGTAATGCAACTAATTTGTAGCAAAATAAATTTGATTGTCTCTGTTAAGTAAAGCAAAAAAAAAAAAAAAAAAAAAAAAAAAACAAAAAAAAAAAAAAACAGAAAACAGAAAAAAGACACTCCATAACCTGTACCTACAATAGAACGAAATTGAAAAAATCTGGTGTAGTTTAAAATCTTACTTTAATAATCACACTAATGGTAATAATATCCCATATCGTATTTTCTTTTTTTTTTTTTTTTACTTTTCTTAATCAATTATAACATGGGTGTAGCGATTATTAAGGAAATTTGTTGTTATTAAAAAAAACACAAAAAACATGGATTTTAAATGAAATTTTAAAAATGCTATGTTCAAAGCAAAAGCGAAGTCGTTAGTAGCAGCTACACATTTCCTCTAAGTCTCAGGTATTTTACGAATATGGTCCTGAAAGAATTTTTGTTTCGAGGCAAATTATTCCAAAAAAAGATGAAATCGTTTGCTTTCTTAATTGTCTCTTTCTTTGGCTCAGAAAGCGCGTAAGTAAACGATCGTAACGGATGGTAATTTTAACAAATTTGGCAAATATATCGTTTGATGATGTACTGTACATATAAAAGAGAATTTATATATAAATTTAATTTCTCTTTATGCGAGCGCTATTATTAAAGAAAGAAAGATACTTGAAAGAATTCTTTCCAATCCGATTCTTACCATCGAAACTATGTTCAAATGAGTTATTTGTTGTCGGTATCGATCAGTATTAACAGTTGTACCCGTTTTTTTTTTTTTTTTTTTTTTTTTTGAAAGCTTAAAGTATATACCACAACTTCCTATACTTGCTAAGCAATGCAATATTTTTTTTTTTCGATTCAACGAAATGAGCCTAATATATTTTTTTGTTCAAAATTTTTCAAAAAATCCATTAACTACTTAATAACTTTTAGTTGAAGTTATTCTTTACTGAAATACTGCAAAAAACAAAAGAAAAGAAAAAAAAATTCCAAATGCTTTACCTTTAGCACAAACTAAGATCTTTCAGCGTAAAAATACTTAAGATAATCAAGACTCTAAAGAAATTGCTATATAAGATGTTAAAGCTTGAAAGCCAGTAAAAGAAGCACTTTTATTAACCTAAGTCTAAAACCGTTTATTGAAAGATATTAGTATTAAGCGTCACACCCGATTTCATCTGATATGACATCAAATCCCATTTAACTAGTAATAGTTGAGAGACGAATACTCCAGTAAGTGTTATAAAGTGTTTTCTCTATTTCTTTCCCATTCTCTTTCTTTCTCTCTCTCTCTCTCTCTCTCTGTCTCTCTCTCTCTCTCTCTTTCTTTCTTTCTTTCTTTCTCTCTCTCACTCTTTTAACTAATTCAATACTCGCATTCTTTTTTTATTATCTAAAAGATTAAATTAATTTACAATTTTTTTTCGAAATTTGTTATTTTCTAAAAAGTGTTGTAAAATTTTTTAAAATAAATATTTTAGTTAGAAACAAGAACAAGAACAAGAATAACAACAACAACAACAACAACAACATATTTATGGCCTTATTTTGTTAAAATAATTTCTACTAATGAAATAAAAAAAAAAAGAAGAAGATTATTCTCTATTTTTATTTAAAGAAAATGCTTGAAAATGTCCTCAAGCAAGCAATACTGTAAGATTTGAAAAAGAAGAAAAGTAAAAGTAATTTTATTTAAAAAAATGCTTCAAGAAATCAGCAAAAATAAAAGAACGAACCGTTACCAACCAACACCGAGTAATTCAATAAAACTTATGCGAAATTATATATAAAATAATGCCGAGACAAACTAAAAAGTAGTTTTTTTTTTTCATTTTCATACCTACCGGATGGCTCTAGAGATGCTCAATCGGATGGAATCATGTTTTCGATCATCTTGCATACAAACATTTTTATTTAAAAGCTTAAGTGATTCAACATATATATAGATAGATTTGTTTGCACCCTATAGACCTTTTTTTACGGCCCTCTTTCCATATAAGGACAAAATTTTCTCACTTTTTTTTTATTGCTTGGAACAATCAGTTGGGGAAAAACGAGTGAGGAAATGGAAGAAAATAAGGGATGTATAAGGGGTTTAGTGGATTTGTGTACAAACGGTAAGTACTATGCCTCTACCGACTGAGAACTAATTATAGCTACAGTCAAGTATTGCCTAGCGCACTCAGTTTTGAACCTGCGAGTGTAAGCGTCCCTCTCCTTTGTATTGTCTTAGACAAAGTGTTTCAGGAAATTGTACCAAGAAATATTTATTAGATCATATTGAAAATTCTCCGCGGTTTTGTTTGCGGAATGGCGTTGATGCCTATAATGATATATCGGGCAACGCTCACCTGATTGTCTCAAATGAACATGTGCTTGAAAGTCGACATTGCAGCTTGCATTTTTCGTGAAGATAGTTTTCTAATTGTGTGCTCGTGTAAAAAGTTATACTGTTTTGAAAATGAGTGAAATATCTGGACAAATACGCTATGTGATGCTTTTTCGGTATAAAAAACGCTGTCAAAAAGAAAAAAAAAGAAAATTGTAAAGTATATAATAGGAATGGTGTGAGTGAACGAAGGATCCAAGATTTCGGTGTCAAAGATGCACCTCGCAGTCACTGAAAAAGTTGATGAAATTTTTCAATTGGTGGAGCAAGACCGGTACGCAAGTTGTTAGAAAATATCGGAGACACTAAACATCAACCGCACGGCACATTAGAATCATATGAAAATAGAAGGCTACAAAAAGAAGCTCAAAACTGCGGAGACTTTTCAATATGATCCATTATTTTATTTTGTTTAGATCTTCGAACCTATTTATGAATCTTCGGAGAATTATGGCTTGGCTAGCGTGCCGTTTCGAAATGCTGAAGAAGTACGGAAATAGGTTGACGTCTTGATCGCTATAATATCGTTCTTGCGACAGGGTATCACCTGATCTGATGTTCATCGTACGTTATATGAGGATGGGGAGGGGGAATGGAGCAAAGCGTGAGTTGCAAAAGTGCTCACCACCAATTTATAATGTCGGAATATAATACTACTGCTCAGCCACTTTCGTTCAGAAATTTAGAGAATTGAAATTTTTTGCATATAACGACTTTTCAACATAGGGCATTATAAGGGGACGATGAAGTGGACTGATCATTGGGTCAAAACACATCAGTGTCAAAACGTATGCAACGGGTAGAAGGAAGATTCACAGATCGCACAATGTACATATATTGCTGATTAGTGTCAAATTCAGGATCGATTCAAACATGTCCGTCTGTCTACAAGCTCG